TTTTAAAACTTATATTAAATACCAAAAAATATGTTTTTTTCTTTTTATAACAGTAAAATCCAAATATTAATTCAGAAAAGAAAAAAATATTACTTAAAAATCTAAAAAAATAAATTATTTATAATTTTAAAACAAAATCAAAATATTAAAAATATAATAATTAAAAAAGGCAAAAAATTAAATAAGATCCAAAAAATTTAATGAAATAAGAAAATATATTTTTATTTTTAAAACAATGAAATCTAAAAATTAAAAAGAAATGAATTTAACATAAAAAAATAAATTAAATTGAAAAAAATAAAAAAATAAATAAAGTATGTTTCTAAAAGTTAAATCAAATTAATTTCTTTAATAAACAATGAAATCGAAAACTTTTAAGTAAATTTAACCAAAAGAAGAAAAAAAAATATTTAGAAAAGAACAAAACAAAATAAGTTCCTACAAATGAAATGAATTGAAAAAATATAACATCTAAAAATACAAAATAAATATTAATTAAGGAGGAAAAAAAATCACATAAAATAATAGTCAAAAATTAAATGAAATTAAGAAAAAATATATTTTTCTTTTTAAAAACTACAATCTAAAAATTAAAATAAATAAAACTTCATTTACAAATTTCAAAAATCCGCCTGTTCCAGGATTCGAACTCTGTTCGCTCGAATTGCACGCCAGTACTCAGCTCACTCGGCCATTGCGCTAAACGATATACCAGTGCTTTCTCTCAAAGTAACTTTTCACCACGCGTGGTGAATGAGAGAGCTTTTTTTCTACGACAAAAAAAAAATTCTTTGAACTGTATTGCCATCTGTCTTTCATTTGTCTTACGAAAGACTATCTTAACCAGAATTTCTATGTTTAAATCTAAAAATCACGCCAGAAGCTAAAATGTAGAACTGAGTTATTATTAAAAAAAGGTATTTGTTCCACAAATGAAATATGTATCTGTAATTTCATGTCTTCCAACGACATGTGTTTTTTGATTTTTCAATTTGGATTTTGGCTTATATACCACCTTTATGTTCCGCGAGAGGTTGTGAGGGTCGGACTTACTGTCTGCATACCACACACAGTTCAGTTACGTTGCTTTATTATGTGAACATCTGCGTTAACCCAAAATCGTGTTCTTGTAACAGCTACCTCGTAGGAGAGCAAAGGCACAATTTCATAGGATTAACCTTTCGTTGCAATAATTGCCGTAATGCTTCACGAATTTCGTTGAGATAGTGGCTTTACTTGGCTAGACGAAATGCGGCTTAGGCGAATGTCAATCTCAGTTAAAGCTTGGGCAACACAGATACATAATTGTATACATATTTAACTTGCCCATTATGCCACACTACATCGCCACAGGAACAACCACTCGACTCTATTGCAGCTCATTGTGTTGTGCATTCGCAGTAATTAGCGCAACCTTTAATGGCAGCAGATAATAAAATGTTATTTATGTGCTGGTATCATAAATTAAGCGCAACAAAAACGGCGCTCGAACAGACGGCACTCGATGTTTTTGTCGCTGAGTGTTTGTGGCCACAACCAAAGCGACTGCGGCGGCAGCGGCTGTTGTTGCGGCAAAGACAAAAGCAGAAGTGTAATTTTGCATACAGCGCGCTTAAATGAATGCAACTGCAACTGCAACAGCAGCATAAGAAAAAAGCAACAATATTAATCGCTAAATGCATGAATGTACGAAGCTGACCGCTGTTGTTGGGTTGCCGGTTGTTCGGTGGCGTGGCACATTAAGCGCCAACATCCAAACTCAAAGCTAATGCAAAAAAGCGTTAAAATTACAAATGAGAAAAACAGTGGCAACAACAAAGCATGCATGTAAATAAATTTGCAATACAGCAGCCACATATCATAGCGGCAATGCGGTGCACATTCAACGCGCGCCACAAACGCTACCAGCAAATGGCCTCCGATTACTTGCACTTAATGCGCTGCTAAGTGTTGCTATTAAATAATGCGACTGCTGGCAACTGGTGTTTCGTAAAAATAACGAAAAAATTTACAGCTATACCGGCAACGGCATCAAGTACCGCAGAAAAGCGAAAATTTACATTTGCGTTTGCCCCCGCAGCAGCAGCAGCACAATCATGAAGCATCGATGATTTATCAGTTTCACCAGCGATTTATCGGACGCTGATTGCGGCAAGCGAGCAGGCAGCAGGCGGACGGCCCAAAAGGCAGTCGGGAAAAGTATTCGAAGCCTAGTGGCAAGTTGCTGCCACCACTTTTTCCATCCTGCCACTGCCATTTCGATTGACTGGCGATATGAATAAAGAAATTTCGCATTAATTCATTGTAAGGTGGCAGCGAAAAATGCCACAAACAAACTAACTGATTCCGGATTGTACGCGTACCTCTGGCTACACGTGCATCAGTCGAGGTGTTAGTAAGCAGCCGGGTGCATAGATTGCAAATGGAAGTGGATATTGGTAACTGTTGAAGCGAGAAGTGTAATTGTCAAAGTGAGGTTGTCAGTGGGCAGTCGGCAGCCGCCAGCCGCGTAGGACCTTGCTATACATACATAAAAACATATTCTTGTGCCATTAAGTAGGCGAAGTCTGTCGTTTTCTTTACGGCTTCAGGTGCCACTTTCCATTCATCAACCCTTCACAGACACATTCGTGCAGAGACTGACTAACAAAAAGTGTGGATCGGATAATTTAGGGCTATCAAAGTTGATTTGAAGTGTTGCAGGGTCATTTAATTTATGCCTTTTGGTGAAAAGCGCCTAAAGTGCCCATTATTACCAGTAGTGGCATTAGAAAGATACTTACGTATGGATAAGTACGTGCAAATAGGGACAACACCTCTAATGTTCAACTTTTAGCCCCCCAAAGGTGTTACTTATGTACATATGAACATATATACGATACATAGGTACATAAGTAAAATAGACCATTATTGGCTGAAATTCCAATTTTTCAATGCATGCAGCGCAATAGAAAAAAATAGGATATTACTATTTTTTAATAAATGAAACTAGGCACTTGAATCGAAGGCCCAATCAAAAATATTTTGAGGTTATTTAAGTTGTAGGGGCTACCCTCATCCAAATCACTGATGGAGACAGTCCTAAAATCGCAGACACCGCTTTATCAGCCCAACCACGACCGAATTCTTCATAGTCTCGATAACTGCAACAAAGTAATTCTACTGGTACTATGTTTCGACAAAAACAGACAAATTTCAAAACACAGTAAAACTGCGGTTTTAGTTTCTATCTCTGACGTCAGGATTTTTTTTTCAAGGACTTTGATGTTTGAAAAATATGATTACTTCAAACAATTATTTAAAAAATTCAGTGTATTTGTAGAAAAACAGTATGCGTATCAAATTAAAGAGAAAATTCTGTTGAATAAAAAGCGATTACATTTTTGTGTGCATAAGGACGTACCTACTCCTCCTTTTAAAATTTTTTCCTTGAATAACCTTAAAATTTTTAAATACATAGTTACATACAAGTTTCAATCTTTGTGCAACATTTAAAAAGAAATCAACAAACTTTCGTAAAAATAAAGCGCAATTTTAAAGTAGTTGGTACTTGCCATTGATTTTGGAATTTTTTTTTTGTTTTTTTTTTTTTTGTTGACGATGTCAGTCATTTTCTTCCATACAAAGTACATATGTTCGACGTTTTTTTTATGAAGAAAATTAACAACACATTCAACTAAAAAAATTGCCAAAAATCATCGGTAAGTTCCAGCTACTTGCACTTTCTAAAATTAAACGGGCTACAAAACTGCATACTAAAAATATTTCTAATATGCATTAGCGTCCTAAATTTAGAAATACCGAAGTTTCCGATTTCAAACATTTTCGTTTATGTATCAAGTACAATGATTATACCGAGTTTTTACTGAGATATATATATGTAATCACAAGTGGGTGTGGCTACGCCCATTTTCCAAAAATTTATAATATTCTTATTTTCTCCCATTATGTCATTGTAAATATCAAATTTAGGAAAGTTACTAAAATATCGCAGTTTTCGTATTTCTGAAAACTACCCTTATATGGGAGGTAGGCGTGGCTATTTTCCGATTTTTCCCATTTTCAATACCATCTATTCTTAGCGAAATTCTTGCACGATTCCATTAGGCTGTTACAAACAACCGTTATGTGAACAAAGTTATAATACCCTTGTGCACAAGTGCGTTCAGGTATAAAAACACAATTTTTTTTTTCATTAAAGACATTTACTTATTCATTTCATTAACTAATTCTTGCCTATTCTATTTTATATTTTCCAGAACTTCCTCGCCGCGAATGCTCAATGCTGGTGGAATGCCCCGCTCACCGCTGCGACGCGTGCCCTCAAATATGCCGGTCATATAGCTCCAGGGATGCTATTGGTAACCGCCGAACCATGCGCGCTCGAAGTGCTACGTGGCGCTTATGCGCGGAGCGTGCTGAAACCACCTGCGACCTATGTCATCAGCTCTGTCGGTAAGTGAAATACAAGTGAATATATTTTGAAATTTAATGATATACGTGGTTTATATTAACGGTTACTAAAAACTAAAATATCAGGTTCGAAAAAAGTAACGCAATATTACTGAGCATCAACTTCTATGATTTATTTGCCAAAATTCCAACAAATCATTTGTCAATCGTCAAATATCGTAGATGCCTATGGTGTACAGTTAAAACAAAAAAAAATCTAAAAATAGTCTAGACCCTAGACGAATACCTTAGTGTGTCACTTCAACTGATTGACGTGTTTTTATCAGTGACGTAAGGTCAGGTGTCTTTAGGAAATGTAAATTTAATGGCCTGCAGTTATAGTCAACGTAAAGCCGACTCTAAAGTTAATTGCAGCTTTTTGACATAATTTTCAATGGAATATCTGTCAAAAAAAGCTGCACCTAGCTTTAGAGTCCACTTTGTTTTGACTGCAACTACGGGCGTTGAAACAGGGGGATGGTCAAGATTTTTCGTAACTCAAGGGACATCCATTTAGAGCCTCATGCAAGCTTTTCTCAGACGATCAACGCAATGCTGTGTCTACTAGTCTAAAAGGAATTGGACAGTAACTAAGATCCGTTATGCCGGCATGGCTGCCCGATAAAATACCGATGGTCCTCCTCGGTCAATCTGTGATCAAGCTAAATTTATGTACCCAAATCGCCAAGACGGAAAACCTATTGCTGAATCTGGAAGCCTCATAGACATTTCCAATTGAAGGTCACTCGAAAGGTCTCGCGATACCACACCGCAAGTTATTCTTGAGCCGTCCGTAAAAATACAAATTTCGAAGCATTCACCAAAAATAATGTCTCTCCAACCCTTCTTCCAAGGAAACTTGATATTGAAATTTTTACCCAAGAGTGTTGACGTTCAATTTTCTGCGAATTAGTACTAAAGAAGTACGGAGTGCGCCCATGCTTATAAAGACGCTCTTGCTATAATCCCAGTTACCTCAGCCTTAGAATACATTGTGAAGCATGTTCTTTCTATCGGTAACAATCGACAGATCACGTTTAAGGCCTTAATACGAGACTAGGTCGTAATCCCCATTTTCTTAGCTAGCATTTTCTCGCACAAGTAGAAGGCTCCGCACGCGTTTTTAACTCGATCCTCATAGGCTACCGGGTAAACAAGAATGACTTCTGCAAGAGCTGCTAAGGCCACGATTGAAATTTTGGCCGAAATTTACAATTTTTGGTACATTTTTTTCCAGTTTGGTACATAGGAACATAATTTTTAGATTTGGTACATTTTTTTTAATCTGGCAAAATAAGAAAATTATTACTTACATCATATACCTATTTAAGAGTCAAGCCTTTGTGTGAAGGCCAACGTACATATCAAACAAGAAAATCTGCTATTACGGCAACACATTGTCTAACTCACGTGATTGAAAGGCATTGCCATATAAGCCTTCACGGATTCCTTGACATTCAAGCAAAATCCAAGGTCATGACAAGAAGGTATCCTTAATGTAATAACTGCATGGAAAACAATCATGTTGAATGCAGAACTCTAATATCAGAAAAAGGAGGCGTTAGGCATGAGATCCTGGAAAAGCAAGGGATTCTAAGTATAAGGTACACATTGCCTCTGGATTGCAGGCAGCCTTAAAACTGACTGAGAAATTTCGGAGATTGAGCTATCGCAAGTGGCGATGCATTCAGGGGTTAACTGAAAATCATTTGTCATAGCTGTTAACAACTAGGCTGTCAGAGGTAAAACATGGAGGATATCCCCCAAAGCTGACGTTTTGACCATTCAATACATTGACAATACGAATTACGTCGATCTGCCATTATAGGAGCCACCTGCCCAACGAAAGCACTGGAATCATCAGATACTATACTAACTTGGTAAGCACAGGAAACTGGTACCTTTAAAGGCTCTTGATAGTTTTAAAACCAATCTGTGAGGATCCCTCGTTAAACTCATAGACAAAATGCTACCAAAATTATCATTCCAGTAGCCCTACAAGGTAATAATTTCTAAAGGGCACAAAGTTTCTACTTGCATCACAGGCCCTGGACCCTTTCAAAATTATATCTAGTCGTATGGACAACGGCAAAATTCTATTCAACTAGTAAAGCACTCATATTTGGTCGTTCTTAGAGAGAATTCAAATCAATAAAGGTATATACCAACTAATTTTTGTTGTTGGTGTTTTCTACAGGGTAGGAGTACGACAACCGATTTGTCTCCAAACCAAATTTAAATAGGGATTACGGCAAATCGTTCCACAATATATCATTAACTATATGAGCAATGTGTTTTTGTAAAATATTTGTATAATTAAACTTATAGCTGAAACCTATGTATTTTGATAAATTTTTTGAATTTTGGTACACGTTTTGTTACACAAAAAATGAGCATCGTAGCAACCGTGGCTACGATGAAGACGATTCTGGTACATTCAGATATTTACTCTGGCATTTATTGCTCTGCACCAGGGATGTTGCGAATGTTCAATTTTAGACATCCGCGGATGCGAATGCGGATGCAAATATCTAACAGCTAACATCCGCGGATGCGGATGCGAATGCGGATGTCAAGTATTTTTACGAACAATTAGAATCTAACATAATGGCGAGATCGTTGTTTAAACAGCGCGTACAAGCCAAACCAGATGTGTCAGGTTTTCCTAAAGCTTTTTAAAAAGAATTCTTCATTCTCATTCCTTTGACTGTTTCAGAATTTGGGGAATCTGTAACTTCATCAGCGTTTTTCGAGTTTAGTTTTTGTAATTAATTTTTAATACTTTCTTCTGCGATTAGTTTGAACAATTTGTGCTTATAGCGAGCTAAATAGGTGGATATGGAGAATAAATTATTATTTTCCAGGAATGAAAATTCTGAACAAAATTCTGTTTTCAAAGTCGTGTCTGTCAGCCGAATCGGATCAGAATACTGTTATTTTTAAAAAAAGCACCCCGTTTTTTATAAGCATTTGAATCTCAGATAGTTACGAAATTCTTATCTTATTAAAGGTCAGACCTATAGTTTTTTAATTATTTGACCATCGGTTCTCTTTACAGCCAGACGTTGATCATTTCTGCCGGAAATCCCAATTGAAGGAGCTTACTCTTTGACTTTAAATAGCAAAGAAGGGACAGTTTACCACAGAAGTTTTTAGCCAAAGATCCAATGTATATAACGAAAAAATTATTGCCCGACAAGTAAACAAAATTACTGTTCTTTCAATTTTTGCTAAAAATAAATTCCCAGAGAGAGCTTTTACTATGCACGCTCCTATACAAAATGCATAGAAATCTTTAAAGAGCTTTGCCCTCGGGCATGGTAGTGCACATCACCGTTCTAAATCCATATTGTGTCACGACGAACCTTTCACCGGGCCTGGGTGTACTGGCTTTCGTCTAAGCCACCGTTGGGCACTGCTTTGCCCGCGGGCGAAGCTCTTTTAAGCTTTCTATACATTTTGTATAGAGGCGAGCAGAGTAAAAGCTCTCTCTGCCCAACGCTGGTTTAAGCTCATCTGCCACTACAACCTAATCTAGTAATAATTTTAAACATGTTCTTCGTATCCTAAAAAATCTCAATTTCCATCTTAAAGACCTTAAAGACCTCTTAAAGACATAAAAGCAACTTAAGTAAAAGGTGCCACAATTAATCAAATCGTCACTTCTGCAGCAAACCCCACATTTATCCTCGAAAATACCAAGTGAAAATTGTTACACAAATCACCAAAAGCAAACATATTTATGTATTTCAACAATTACTTTTCTTTTGGAGTCATCCTGTCTTGTAAATTATAAATGGATAATTGAAGCAACAACAAAAACTGTGGTTTACAATTCATAAAGACAGCAATCGGCAGCCGCTAACAGTTAGCAACTCCATCTAAATATTATCGACGGCAAGCGATGATTTTAATATTGGCTACACAGAAACCAAGGCAATCACTACAACAGCAATTATGTACAGCAACACTCGAATGAACACAACACAACAGCACTGTGTATTCCATTCAGCATTTGGTGGCCATGAACTTGTCCATGACTCTTCCATTTTCTGCCAGCCGACTGCAATCATAATTAAAGACAAGCAAAACACAAATGTTGCCGCCACTGGCTGAGCTGTTGTTGTTATAAAGCGAACCAATGGATATAGCCATGCTTTCTGCTTGAGCTGTCAATTGTGGCAACAAGTTAATTAAATGTTCTTTACCTTTTCGACAATGCTTTCGACATGGTCGCGTCTGGGATTATTCGTATGCTTAATCTACTTTGTCGTTGATTTTTCTTTTATTACATTTCATTTAAGTTTTTCTGATACCCTGTATAAATAATTTAAAGATTTTTTAAGCATTTATTGTAAACCAACGTGTCGCTTGCGCACACTACCAATAATATGAGTTTTGTAATTTTGTTTTGATTTTTTGTGTGTACGAGCAGAAATTTGATAGCTTTATTGACTTTTTATCAAAATTTCCAGTGCAGCACAAAACAAAAATTTTTCAGTTAACGATAAGCCAAAACAAACTTAAAAATAAGCTACAAAATTTCTTGTGCCTGATTGACGGAGGCCTAATATGACCTCATCCGCTAATGCTTCGACCAGTACTACGAACCCGAATCCGATGCAAGATGACGACCTTTCAGAGTTGACCAAAAAGGAAATCCTCTTTTGGGCCCGTAAACTCAAATTATCGCCATCGGAGCTTTTTACGCTCTCGAAACAAGATCTAGATCGTTATCTTGAGCGAGCGCAGCAGGAGGAGTTTTACGATGAGCAGCGCAAAAGCCGATATGCTAAGTGGGAGAGGCTGTCGGAGATGAACGGTTTTTTGCTTGAGGAACAACACCGGGAGCGACTTAGAGGCGGTGGTATGCCTAACCGTCGCCGCATTTGGGATATTTTATACGCTGCAGCTAAAGAAATCGAGTCTATGTACGGTTACAGTCAAGAGACTTCAAGAAACGATGGCGGACTATGCCCGTACTCAAATTCTGGCGGCTCTAG